CCAACAAGGCTGGATACACATGGCAAACAGTAGACAACCAACAAGGCTGGATACACGTGGCAAACAGTAGACAAGAATGAAGGCTGGATACACATTGCAAACACAAGACAACCAACAAGGCTGGATACACATGGCAAACAGTAGACAACCAACAAGGCTGGATACACATGGCAAACAGCAGACAGCCAACAAGGCTGGATACACGTGGCAAACAGTAGACAAGAATGGAGGCTGGATACACGTGGCAAACAGTAGACAACCAACAAGGCTGGATACACATGGCAAACAGCAGACAACCAACAAGGCTGGATACACGTGGCAAACACCAGACAACCAACAAGGCTGGATACACGTGGCAAACAGTAGACAAGAATGAAGGCTGGATACACATGACAAACAGTAGACAACCAACAAGGCTGGATACACATGACAAACAGTAGACAACCAACAAGGCTGGATAAACGTGGCAAACACCAGACAATCAACAAGGCTGGATACACGTGGCAAACAGTAGACAACCAACAAGGCTGGATACACATGACAAACAGTAGACAACCAACAAGGCTGGATACACGTGGCAAACACCAGACAACCAACAAGGCTGGATACACATGGCAAACAGCAGACAACCAACAAGGCTGGATACACGTGGCAAACAGTAGACAACCAACAAGGCTGGATACACATGGCAAACACAAGACAACCAACAAGGCTGGATACACGTGGCAAACAGCAGACAACCAACAAGGCTGGATACACATGGCAAACAGCAGACAACCAACAAGGCTGGATACACGTGACAAACACAAGACAACCAACAAGGCTGGATACACATGGCAAACAGTAGACAACCAACAAGGCTGGATACACATGGCAAACAGCAGACAACCAACAAGGCTGGATACACATGGCAAACAGCAGACAACCAACAAGGCTGGATACACGTGACAAACAGCAGACAGCCAACAAGGCTGGATACACATGGCAAACAGTAGACAACCAACAAGGCTGGATACACATGGCAAACAGCAGACAACCAACAAGGCTGTATACACATGGCAAACTGTAGTCAACCAACAAGGCTGGATACACGTGGCAAACAGCAGACAAATAACAAGGCTGGATACACATGGCAAACTGTAGTCAACCAACAAGGCTGGATACACATGGCAAACAGCAGACAACCAACAAGGCTGGATACACATGGCAAACAGCAGACAACCAACAAGGCTGGATACACATGGCAAACAGCAGACAACCAACAAGGCTGGATACACGTGGCAAACACCAGACAACCAACAAGGCTGGATACACGTGGCAAACAGTAGACAAGAATGAAGGCTGGATACACGTGGCAAACAGTAGACAACCAACAAGGCTGGATACACATGACAAACAGCAGACAACCAACAAGGCTGGATACACATGACAAACAGTAGACAACCAACAAGGCTGGATAAACGTGGCAAACACCAGACAATCAACAAGGCTGGATACACGTGGCAAACAGTAGACAACCAACAAGGCTGGATACACATGACAAACAGTAGACAACCAACAAGGCTGGATACACGTGGCAAACACCAGACAACCAACAAGGCTGGATACACATGGCAAACAGCAGACAACCAACAAGGCTGGATACACGTGGCAAACAGTAGACAACCAACAAGGCTGGATACACATGGCAAACACAAGACAACCAACAAGGCTGGATACACGTGGCAAACAGCAGACAACCAACAAGGCTGGATACACATGGCAAACAGCAGACAACCAACAAGGCTGGATACACGTGACAAACACAAGACAACCAACAAGGCTGGATACACATGGCAAACAGTAGACAACCAACAAGGCTGGATACACATGGCAAACAGCAGACAACCAACAAGGCTGGATACACATGGCAAACAGCAGACAACCAACAAGGCTGGATACACGTGACAAACAGCAGACAGCCAACAAGGCTGGATACACATGGCAAACAGTAGACAACCAACAAGGCTGGATACACATGGCAAACAGCAGACAACCAACAAGGCTGTATACACATGGCAAACTGTAGTCAACCAACAAGGCTGGATACACGTGGCAAACAGCAGACAAATAACAAGGCTGGATACACATGGCAAACTGTAGTCAACCAACAAGGCTGGATACACATGGCAAACAGCAGACAACCAACAAGGCTGGATACACATGGCAAACAGCAGACAACCAACAAGGCTGGATACACGTGGCAAACAGCAGACAACCAACAAGGCTGGATACACGTGGCAAACTGTAGTCAACCAACAAGGCTGGATACACATGGCAAACTGTAGACAAGAATGAAGGCTGGATACACATGGCAAACAGTAGACAACCAACAAGGCTGGATACACGTGGCAAACAGTAGACAACCAACAAGGCTGGATACACATGGCAAACAGCAGACAACCAACAAGGCTGGATACACGTGGCAAACACAAGACAACCAACAAGGCTGGATACACATGGCAAACAGCAGACAACCAACAAGGCTGGATACACATGGCAAACAGCAGACAACCAACAAGGCTGGATACACGTGGCAAACAGCAGACAGCCAACAAGGCTGGATACACGTGGCAAACAGTAGACAAGAATGAAGGCTGGATACACGTGGCAAACAGTAGACTACCAACAAGGCTGGATACACGTGGCAAACAGCAGACAGCCAACAAGGCTGGATACACGTGGCAAACAGTAGACAAGAATGACGGCTGGATACACGTGGCAAACTGTAGACAACCAACAAGGCTGGATACACATGGCAAACAGCAGACAACCAACAAGGCTGGATACACGTGGCAAAGAGTAGACAACCAACAAGGCTGGATACACGTGGCAAACACCAGACAACCAACAAGGCTGGATACACATGGCAAACAGCAGACAACCAACAAGGCTGGATACACGTGGCAAACAGTAGACAACCAACAAGGCTGGATACACGTGGCAAACAGCAGACAACCAACAAGGCTGGATACACATGGCAAACAGCAGACAACCAACAAGGCTGGATACACGTGACAAACACAAGACAACCAACAAGGCTGGATACACATGGCAAACAGTAGACAACCAACAAGGCTGGATACACATGGCAAACAGCAGACAACCAACAAGGCTGGATACACGTGACAAACAGCAGACAACCAACAAGGCTGGATACACATGGCAAACAGCAGACAACCAACAAGGCTGGATACACGTGACAAACAGCAGACAGCCAACAAGGCTGGATACACATGGCAAACAGTAGACAACCAACAAGGCTGGATACACATGGCAAACAGCAGACAACCAACAAGGCTGGATACACATGGCAAACTGTAGTCAACCAACAAGGCTGGATACACATGGCAAACAGCAGACAACCAACAAGGCTGGATACACGTGGCAAACAGCAGACAACCAACAAGGCTGGATACACATGACAAACAGCAGACAGCCAACAAGGCTGGATACACATGGCAAACTGTAGTCAACCAACAAGGCTGGATACACATGGCAAACAGCAGACAACCAACAAGGCTGGATACACATGGCAAACTGTAGTCAACCAACAAGGCTGGATACACGTGGCAAACAGCAGACAACCAACAAGGCTGGATACACATGGCAAACTGTAGTCAACCAACAAGGCTGGATACAAATGGCAAACAGCAGACAACCAACAAGGCTGGATACACATGGCAAACAGCAGACAACCAACAAGGCTGGATACACGTGGCAAACAGCAGACAACCAACAAGGCTGGATACACGTGGCAAACTGTAGTCAACCAACAAGGCTGGATACACATGGCAAACTGTAGACAAGAATGAAGGCTGGATACACATGGCAAACAGTAGACAACCAACAAGGCTGGATACACGTGGCAAACAGTAGACAAGAATGAAGGCTGGATACACATGGCAAACAGTAGACAACCAACAAGGCTGGATACACATGACAAACAGCAGACAACCAACAAGGCTGGATAAACGTGGCAAACAGTAGACAAGAATGAAGGCTGGATACACATGGCAAACAGTAGACAACCAACAAGGCTGGATACACGTGGCAAACAGTAGACAACCAACAAGGCTGGATACACATGGCAAACTGTAGTCAACCAACAAGGCTGGATACAAATGGCAAACAGCAGACAACCAACAAGGATGTATATCGGGAACACTGGGGAAATTCCGACAATCAAACCTTTTTATCTAAACCGATCTTTAGTATTCAAATACTTTTTCCCATGGTACGTCTGCGTTCAGACTAACTGTGTACCATTGACAGGAGGATCGGAACACTCGGGGGAATATGCAGAGTGAATCAGAGGCTGCTAAAGTATGACTGTTTTTGAAAAACTATACCTAAGTTACCTTTTGCCTAAAAGTACATCGATTGTGTAAACACTTGATGTCTTAGCTGTCCACGACAAGGTATTGTGTTGATTATGAGATACTATCTTTATCTGAACATTTAAAATCGATGTTTCACTTGATTAAAATAGCATTTAACGCCGGAACTGCGTTCAGTGTCCCTCAATTGTTTTAGAGTAAAATCATGTGTCCTTTCACATCACATATTTATCCCATCTCGTGACCTTACATGTTAACATATATACCTTGTGTCAGATCCATCGATATTATAAACATGTTTGACAATAAAAGACAAATATTCTCATATAATCCAAGTGTTTTTCGTGTACAACAGTTCCTACACCAGCCATATGTCACAAACAGGTTCATGTAAACAGTACTATGTTTTGTATTCTGGAGCGATATCTACACCCACATGGTTGTCTGTTAACAGAAAACGTACACTTTCGCAGACTGTATTACCGTATATCATGAAATTAATGTGCTACGAAAATAATTCGAGCATGAGTACCAAAACAAAACTGCGTCACTTAATCATTGCGAGACAATGTATAGTGGTAACATCATTGTCATGTGTGGAGAATGGGAAATCATAACTACCATCTTTTGCGTAGTTGGCTTGCTGCGAGATTTGTCCACCTACCTGCCTACACCGCCAACGTCTGTACAACAACTCTTCTTATCTGTAGATCGGTATGGGACACTCAGTTGACCAAAGTACTTGACGTATATGGACAATGGGTTAGAGTCAAATATAACAATTATATGGACAATGGGTTAGAGTCAAATATAACAATTATATGGACAATGGGTTAGTGTCAAATATAACAATTATATGGACAATGGGTTAGAGACAAATATAATAATTATATGGACAATGGGTTAGAGCAAAATAAAACAATTATATGGACAATGGGTTAGTGTCAAATATAACAAGTATATGGACAATGGGTTAGTGTCAAATATAACAATTATATGGACAATGGGTTAGAGTCAAATATAATAATTATATGGACAATGGGTTAGTGTCAAATATAACAATTATATGGACAATGGGTTAGTGTCAAATATAACAAGTATATGGACAATGGGTTAGAGTCAAATATAACAATTATATGGACAATGGGTTAGTGTCAAATATAATAATTATATGGACCATGGGTTAGTGTCAAATATAACAATTATATGGACAATGGGTTAGTGTCAAATATAACAATTATATGGACAATGGGTTAGTGTCAAATATAACAAGTATATGGACAATGGGTTAGAGTCAAATATAATAATTATATGGACAATGGGTTAGTGTCAAATATAACAATTATATGGACAATGGGTTAGTGTCAAATATAACAATTATATGGACAATGGGTTAGAGTCAAATATAACAATTATATGGACAATGGGTTAGTGTCAAATATAACAAGTATATGGACAATGGGTTAGAGTCAAATATAACAAGTATATGGACAATGGGTTAGTGTCAAATATAACAAGTATATGGACAATGGGTTAGAGTCAAATATAACAAGTATATGGACAATGGGTTAGTGTCAAATATAACAAGTATATGGACAATGGGTTAGAGTCAAATATAACAAGTATATGGACAATGGGTTAGAGTCAAATATAACAAGTATATGGACAATGGGTTAGAGTCAAATATAATAATTATATGGACAATGGGTTAGAGTCAAATATAACAATTATATGGACAATGGGTTAGTGTCAAATATAACAAGTATATGGACAATGGGTTAGAGTCAAATATAATAATTATATGGACAATGGGTTAGTGTCAAATATAACAATTATATGGACAATGGGTTAGTGTCAAATATAACAAGTATATGGACAATGGGTTAGTGTCAAATATAACAAGTATATGGACAATGGGTTAGAGTCAAATATAACAAGTATATGGACAATGGGTTAGAGTCAAATATAACAAGTATATGGACAATGGGTTAGAGTCAAATTAAACAATTATATGGACCATGGGTTAGAGTCAAATATAATAATTATATGGACAATGGGTTAGAGTCAAATAAAACAATCATATGGACAATGGGTTGGAGTGAAATACAACAATTATATTGACAGCAGGCATACGTTTGATAGTCAAATGTATACGTCCAACATACTATTCCCCCAAAGACAGTGAATGTCAACTCTTTAAACAGTTAACTGGCGAATCCTGTATTTGTGTCCACTGTGGTCTTCCATACATTGTCAGTGTTGCTATCAGTTCGTATCGAGAACAAAACATACTTCTTAGAATTCAGTCAGCCACTCCCATTTCCACAGAGACTCGCGGAACACTGCAACAGTTCGATGTCTGATAAACACCAACGCTAACAAAAACAAGGAATGTTGCAGTTTTCACCTATTTATTACGAACATAGTAAAGCTGTACATTTAGTACACGTGTGGCGATTAGAGCGGCTATGGAAACATTAAATGGCAAGTTTGTCGCATGAGACACTTCCAGACCGACCCCATCACCAATCACACACGCACACACGCACGTTTTAGATTTTTCTTCTACATCGAACTTCTGTTTGTTTGTTTGTTGTTTAACGCCGCACTCAGCAATATTCCAGCTATATGACGGCGGTCTGTAAATAATCTAGTCTGGACCAGACAATCCAGTGATTGATATCATGAGAATCGATCCACGCAATTGGGATACAATGACATGCATCAAACAAGTCAGCGAGCCTGACCACCCGATCTCGTAAGTCGCCTCTTACGACAAGCATAGTCGCCTTTTACGGCAAGCATGGGTTGCTGAAAACCTACCCTAACCCGGATGTTCACGGGTTATATCGAACTTCTGAACCGCCCTCCTAATGGGACACAATTTACCGCAGGAGACATTGTCCAAAATCAACGTCTCAGTGTCACGTTTAGCTCTGTTGTCGGGTCTCCTGCTGCTGCATTTCTGTGTCCTGTTTCTTCTTAAAGTGAATGCGTCCTTCTTAAGTCTCTCAAGTGAGTGAAATGTTGTTTAACGCCGCAGTCAGCAATATTTCACCACTGTCTCGAAAAACTGTACATACTCAAGTCTTGGCTGGACAAAGCAGAGACTGAAAGACTGAGCAAAGATACTCACCGTCGGGTCAAAGTGACACGGGTCAAAGTGACACGGGTCACACTGACATTGGTCATAGCACATGCAACCCAAATCGCAGTGCCTGACCGTTCGATCCAATCTGGTCCACTCTTATGACAAGTGAAAGTGAATAATGCTTGACGCCGCATCAGCAATCCTGCAGGTTTTCGCGGCTTCATGGCCAGCGATGGAGTCAATAATAACAACACTTCAGAATGATGCAGTCGTTATTTTATTTATTATGGTGGTAGGAATACTTGCTGTTGATGACCGGACAACCATGTGGCAACCACGTTGCGGTCAGGGGAAGACAAGGGTGAGATGGCCGTTGATGGTGGAGTCGTAAGAGTTGGCCTGGGAGCTGACGCAGATGTCAATACGGCCGTGACCTTTACCAGAGAACGCCGACCCTGTGTCCACAACCTGTGTCGGAAAGAGAAATATTCGTAGCTAAGAGATCGCTACTTCATAAATATGCGTAACTATAAGAAACATGTGAAAATAACCATATGCACATACATTGAAGCTGACGGGCAATTGTGGTAGCTTAGACTGAATAAAACTTTAAAAGATTTCAGTGTCCGACAAGGCATCGAAGACTTGCAATCCGGAATGGATTTTGTCCGTTTCTATACTGGTGTACATGTTCATTGCTACCTGAGACGCCGTGTACACCCCACGGTACCGTAGGCAATGCCCGCATGGTTGTCCATGGCAACGCTCACATAGCTCGCACTACCAGCCAGAAATTGCTGAAACAAAACAATCATGGCATTTGACAATCGTCTGGATGGTCCTTCACACTTCATACAGTTTACGCTGCACATTTCATGATGCCCTGCAAGGGGCGGCCGGGTAGCCTAGTGGTTAAAGAGTTCGCTCATCACGCCAAAGACCCGGGTTCGATTCCCGACATGGTACAATGTGTGAAGCCTTTTTCTGGTGTCCCCCTCCGTGATGTTGCTGGAATATTGCTAAAAGCGGCGTAAAACCATACTCACTCACTCACTCACTCACTCATGATGCCCTGCAAACAGCACCTGCACCACTGTCGATTATATTATTTCTTGAGCTACCTGAAGCGACCGTCGTGTGTGGTGATGTTGTTGACTGTTCCTGTAAACTATGGTCAATGTATTGCACAGGTTGCATTTAGTCCATGGTTGTTTGGTACAGGAGAGAATTAACAAGACATTATTGGAGGGGGTGAGTATGGTTTTACGCCGATGTTAGCAATATTCCTGCAATATCACGGCGGGGGGCACCAGAAAATCACACATTGTACCCATGTCGAGAATCGAACCCGGGTCTTCGGCTTGACGAGATGACGCTTTAACCACTAGGCTACCCCACCGTCCCTACATTATGTGAACCACTTCTGAATGTCATTGCCCAATTTCAATTTCTGGACGTGAGCAGGTGTTCCTTGGCGGGCGTGAGGGTAGGGGCCATGCTTACCTGTAGCGTCCGAAGTCTTGCCCCCCTCATGTCCACAAAGCCCCCCTCCAGGGCGTTGTTGGCCGGATAGTAGGCCGTGCCACGTGCGGAGTACCGGTGTCCCCCTGCACAGTCGAGGCTGCCTCCGCCGTCAAAACAAGATAGCATCTTAATGTCATATAGCCTTTTCCTGTGATTGCCACCTGTGCTAGTTAGTACTTGCCTGTGCTTGTTAGTACTTACAGGTGCTCTTAGTGCTTACCTCTGTTAATGAGTATTTACCTGTGCTAGTTAGTACCTATATGTGCTTGATTGTACTTACCTATTCATTACTTAACTGTACTTACATTTGCTAGTTAATACCTATCTGTTTGTTAGAACTTACCTGCGCTTGTTACTACTTACCTGTGCTCGAAAGTGCTTACATGTGCTAGAACTTAACTTAACTTAACTTAAGTATGCAGCTAGTAGGTGCGTACCAGTGCTAGGCAGTACTTACCTGTTCTGGTAAATCCGTACCTGGGCTGTCAGTATTTATCTGTGCTCGTAGGTGCTTACCTGTGCCAGTTACTATTTACCTGTGCTCGTAGGTGATTACCTGTGCCAGTTACTATTTATCTGTGCTCGTAGGTGCTTACCTGTGCCAGTTAATATTTACCTGTGCTCGTAGGTGCTTACCTGTGATAGTGGATAGTTACATTTTCTCGTAAGTGAGGAAAGTGGGTAGTAAGTACTTATTTGTGCTTCTTAGTACTTACTTGTACTATTTATTACGTACCTGTGCTCGTAAGTGTTTACCTGTGCTAGTTAGTACTTACTTGTGCTCGACGGTGCCTACCCGTGCTAGTTAGTACATATCTGTGCTTGTTACCACTTACCTGTTCCAGATGATGCTCGTCTTTGTTCCAGTTGTTGCTTACCAGAAACCTATGGTGGCTGTAAGAGTCGCCCAAATGGATCGAGTGCTTAAGCTTGGTGACTTGGTTGATTGTGTATATATATCACTGGCTTGTCTGGTCCAGACTCGATTATATTTATTGGTCACCTATCAAGAACATTGCTGAGGGCAATGCTAGTTAGTGCTTATCTGTGTTAGTCGGTCTGTAAATAATCGAGCCTGGA